TTTCTATAATTCTATAGTTTACCAGTCTGTTAGTGATCTTTTTTACTGTTTTTCTAGAATTCTCTAACCTTGACTAGACCCATTTTGTTGGGCAGTAAGTGATTAGATGAAAGTAAAATTGTCTTTATCGGTGAACTACTTAAAAATAATTTGGCTATTTGATTATGGCTAGCATTAAAGTAAAAAACAGAGTTTTTGCTGAACTTTCCTTGACAAGAAAGAAAAAAGTGGATGGTCCTGATGGGATGCACGGGACTGCATGGCGTTTTGTTTTTTCTTTTTTAATGTTATATTTCCTTTTTATACGCCTGAAGAAGTTCGTGAAAATGACCTCATTTGCTTACCAAAAAAACGGACCTTACTTTGTTCCATTCACCTGCCCAGCGTGTCCAGCAAAACCCAATGCCTTAAGAATACTTGTTAATAAAAGTAAGAAAATCATAAAGCTAAGCATTTATTAACGGGGCAGAATGCTAAATGCCTCTTGATTCTTGAACTTTGCAGGTTGTGGAGAAGACAATTCGGCCATGTTTGGTCGAGCTGAGTGAAGACCCCGATGTTGATGTCAGGTTTTTTGCGAATGAAGCACTACAGTTAAGTGATCAGGTATCGATGTCCAGCTAGGTTCTTTGCTTGTCTTATTAATATTTTTTTAATTATTCTTAATTGTGGATCTGATTTAGCTTGCCAGCCATATGTAATATCTTACTCGAGGTGCTGACGTTTTTCCCTTGTAAAAACATTCTATTGTCTTCTTAATGCCTGGAATGCAATACTTTTATTTTTTTGTTTTTGTTTTATTTTTTATTCGATTTTCTACTGAGCTTTCTTCTGGAAATGCAATAAGTATATACAAATATAAAGCAACACCCACATATCTCAAAGTTGAAGCACATCAAGTGAAGTGAAGCAGCAGCGGACTCCCGACCGTAGAAAAGAGAAGGCAGAGTAAAAAGCAATTTTTTATAGAAAACTTCTTATATTTATGTACTTTTAATATATATATATATATATTTAATATTTAAAATTAACTGGTTCGACCGGACCAGGTAAATAGTTTCAAATCAAAGACAGCATGAGCGTTGTCCGATAATGTCCTTGATCAAGATGATTTCTCTGGTTTCTTTGGTTGGGTCTGATCTGATAAATTAAATGGCTGATAACTGGCAGGCCAGATTTGATTTGGCCCAGAATAAGAAAGTGGGTTAGGTCCATTCCTGTCTGATTGTTAAATGAGGCGGGCCTATTAAAATAAATTTGGCCCAATAAAAATTAAATTTTTTATTAAATATTATAAAATGTTTTCAGAACTTCTGATAACAAAAAACATTCCGATTTTTTAATTTTAATTTTCTTTTTTGTTTGGTTCGACTATTTAAAATTATCAACGTAAAAAAGTTGTTAATAAAGTGACCACGAGCCAGGCCCATACTGCCACTCCATCTACTTTCTTTTTCTCTCTGTTTTTTTTTTTTTTTTTCCCCATTTAATTATTAAATCCGCACAACTCCTGGTTTATATAATATATTATTATTATAGGAGTGTGTGTGTAATATTAACATGCCCAACATAATATGACAAAAATGTAATAGAGTTCCGTAAAGTAATAATACAAAGCAGCTTATGTACATAACTAGTAGTTATCATGTTAGAACGATCCCTTAAAAAAATGGGAGGCTCTTAAATCTGTTCGGCTTTACACAGTCAGACTGCATCCACCCAATTCTGTGATTCACGTTATCATACACCATAAGTTTTCCACGCAATGATATGTCTGCAAAAATCAAAGCAATGCAGTCAAACAAAATTGTGTAAACAAGGCCGAAAGTCGTAGTTGAGATAACTGGGCTGGCCCATATGGGTTACCAGCCATATGGGTTAAATTGTGCTCTCTTAGTTTGACAGGCCCATTAAACCCTGGGCTAAGCTGGTGGCCGGGACTGAATCTACAATCCAACCTAGTAAAAACTAATAATCACTAAACATGCACCCAATATAACACCTTGAAAGAGCAGCTTATGTACATAACTTTTCTAATTTCTGTAGCAGAAACGTGGACTGATTTTGTCTTTAACTATGAGAACTAACTAGAAAAATACAAAGTTCCCAAAAGTATTGGATCCTTAATGGGAAAGATAGATAGATAGATAGATAAAAATCGGGTGTCAGGAAATTTACTGCTAAAATTAAAAGGCAACACTTCTCCCAATCCAAGGGACATACCTCCAAGTATAATTGTTGATCCATCACGTACTTTGCTTCCATCAAGGATGCCTAAGCACACATTTCCCTTTTTCTGCAAAATAAAGTTCCATCAGAAACTATTGCAAATACAAACGTTTTCTTAAGGTAATATTTAAGAACAATCAAAGTGTACTTAGTTCAACTAAAAGATAGTAAAAATTCTTCATCAAACAAAAAAGATTTTATCTCCTATGAAATTTTACATAGAACTCAAACAATGCATTATAAATTCAATCAATTTGAATTTCATACTAAGATTAATTTTTATTATTTTTTAGTAAACTTAAATCCTCTCCTTGGTAAACAAAGTGCTTATTTATGAATAGGTTCTGTAAAATTTCTGGATTTGTTCTAAATATAGCCTAAACTACACCCTTGTAAAAGAGTTGAGAGATCCTTACGTTAATAATCAAGTAGCTCTCTGGTGGAAATCGAAGCTTTCTGGAGATGATCCACCATTTGCTCCCAAGTTGAAAGGTTAAAGTCTTGAAGAACTGCTTAACATCCGTAACAGATCTGCTTAAAAGAAGACAGTTAAGTTCACAGAGTCACTCATATTGACATCATTATTTTTCATGGACAGCAAGAGATTTGAAAAAAACCATTGTGGAGTCACTGACCATTTAAGTTAAACCCTTGACAACCTAAATGATAATTTCCTTTTATTGGGATAAGCACCAAGATCTAATATATTTATTTTCTCCTCATATACCTGATAGGGAATTTAGCCTGCCAACAAATGGGCAATGTTGGATCAGATGTATCACGGATGAATCCCAAGTCAGAAACTTCTTCAAGCTTCGTCAATCAACATTGAGTAATTAGTAGGACCATGAAAATGTTTTCTAAAAACTGTTTCTAATCTTTCAATCTGGCTATAGATTATAATACTTACAGAAGCCACCAACTCAGAATATGCCTGTTCAGGGAAGTATGTATAAGAACTGCCGGTGTCAAAAAGTACCCGTCTTCCACTTTTCTCACCCAAACTGAGTGGGTTATTTCCGTAACTCATCTTCATAATCTCCGTATGATAAAATCCTCTGAAAAGACCCCAAAAGAAAAGCAGGGTGAATCAGTCACCCAGAAAAAGCTCAATGGTAAGATTCACAAGAAATGGGGTCTGCAAGGGTAAGAGGAATATATGATTGCATGTACTAATGATATTTTGTGTTTAGACATTCATTGTTCTTCAAATGCACCATTAAATATGTTTAAGAAGTTGCGAATGTTTGCAAATGTTTCAAGGGAATTTTTCAAAAATAAACAATGCAGAAAAATATTCACTACAAAGTGATTACTTCTTGCAAACTCCACCTCTTTAATGAGTTTTCGTGTGGGAATCTTTTCTTTACTTTTAGAGTTTCTGTCTACTAAACGCCAAAGGACAGTAGAGAGTAAGAACAAAAAAGAGAAGCTTAGCAGATGCATACTTACATGGAATGGCCGTCAAGCATGGGGACCCATGCCATTCCCCATTGTGGGACTAAATCATCGCCTAGGAACATATATCCCCCACCACCAACATCAGTGGTTAGGCAATGGCCAACCACATTGTTAATGATCCCCTGATCTGCCAGCTGAGAAGGTAAGCTAACCTTGGCCCTGCTTAGTCCGAGGATTCCATCTGTCTTTACCAGTGTGTTTAGAAGTAGACCTTGCTGATCATATGCACACCTAAGTATAAAAGTTTTAAAAAATGCAGAAAACAGAATCTGGTTAGAAAGACTAAACATTTAAATGATCAAGAATAACTTCCAGAGGGATGAAGAAGTATACCCAAACACGACATTTAACTTGGTCACCGAGCCATTTGCAATCAACAGATGAAGCTCATCTCTTGCAAGAACACCAATCGAGGAGCTTTGATCAGCATATTCAATCTCATAGTCACACTGGTCACAAGCTTCGCAATACTGAGTCTTCTGATTTCTATGAACTTCTGCACACAGTGAATCCTTAGGAGGAACTAAATTGCCTCTCCTTGGCTTGTACAAAGGATTGGCTCCCTACATTAAATAATCCATCTGTTTAAAGATGATTTCTACCTCAAAATACTTGACAAAATATTCTTCATCATCTACAAGAGTTACCATCTTTACATGATGGCAGTATAGTTTTCTTTAACTCTCTCATTCAGCTCTGCTTCCTTGCAGACAGCAGATAGGAAGTATTTTTGCTCAAAACTTGAAAATCCGAAAAAAAAATAGTCCATAAATGAAAGGTATATCGGGAAGTAGTACAGGAACAGATAATTTAGCATGTCGATGCACCACAAGCATAGACAATCAACCTTTTGTTAGAGGATATATTTGGTTAGGAATCAAAAACTAATAGAGTTGGTTATGTACCTTTTCAACTAAGTTTGAGGTTGAGGGTCTAAGTGCTGCCTTGCGCAGCTTTTCAACTAGCAAAAAAGAAGTTTCATCTCCTTATATATCCATTTGTTATTGCCAATAAAGAATGATAATCAGCATCAGGAGTGAGATTTATATTCATATTTTTTGTCAAGTCCCAAAAATAAAATTAATAAAATTACTAAACCCTAACAAAGAGAGAGATCAAGATATTTTCAAAAGGACATTCTTTTAATAAAGGATATTTTTTAATCTTAAAATTTCTATCTCCGCTCATGTTATATCAGAGATTCAAGATATAGACACTTTTTAAGATGGTAGACCAAATGGAAATGTGGCCAAAGCCCAGAATGCTTGAACTGTAGGTCGTAAGGAACTATCAAACAAACAGTGGACGATAGACGTCTCCATTCAGTAAGCATACACAAAGATGGTAAGATAGAACTGAATGTGCGAAGGTGACAAGATAATATCTATCAGACATGTAGAGGAAACAGTTCTGTGATAAGTTTGACAAGTTCACACAATCAATCAGCCATTTTAAACTTCAACTAATCACCAGACAAGTAAATAAAGAAATCAAAGTTGTTAATTTCAGATCCTATTTGTAAACCTCATTCAGAAAACTTAGTCTTAGGTATTACCTTGGCACAACTGGTGCAAGGAGCATCACACTGAATCCATGTTAAGTCACTCCCAGTATCAATATCAAGATAATAAGTTCTCTGGGGATTTCCTACCAGCATGTATGTGAAATACAATCTGAAAGGAAGAAAAAAAAGAACAATTTGGAATTAGAATCACTATTGCCATCAGACAAATCTTAGGCAGCAGAAAGTATTAACCAACAGAAAAAAGGCAGGAAAAATAACATTAAATCATTCTAAATCTCTGCAAACTGATGCAAGCCATACATCAATACCATATATTTATTGAATTATGACACTTCATCTTCCATAATGGGAAAAGGCCACAATTGAAATATTTGTAATAGAAAAAAACTTCTAAATGAGTAAACAATAATATCAAAGGTAAAATTTGCTCTCACTTAAATGAAAAGAAGAAAAAAGATCCTATAGCATTATGTATTATCATCATGTGATCATGACACCTTCGGCACTAATTACATCAATATTGAAGTCACTGCGATCCTACAACCGCTTCCTACACCTGCAGATTTCCCTCACAATTCATTTCTCATACCAAATCCATCATTGATGACAACAGTACAAGCACTCTGCTGATGCTGCAACATCTGTATTTCTTCTTCATCCATCACATCCACTTCCTAAAGAAGGGTATTGCCACTTAACTCTCTCTATATAACCAGCATTAGAATTTTCTGTACTCCAGCATGGCTGACCACAGATGCTTTCCTGTAATTGTTAAATTAACACAACTTTTTTACCAGTGTTCTTACTCATCTTGCCTTCTCTGCAACCCGAGAAAAAGCCTATCAAAAGGGCACCAATATAAAAATAGCAGTAGGTTGACACAGAGCAGTATATCAAATTCACTTGATACAGTGTTTGTTCCACATAATCAGAAATAAAATTGCATAAACTATATTCTAAGCATTGTATAAGCCTTTGGAACAACCCCAAATCCTATTATATGGCATCATCTAAATGCTAAGAATATGAAAAATGCTCAAGTTAGTATATATACTAGAGGAGGGTTTTTCATATACCTTTGAGCAAAGGCACAAACTTCAACAGCAGAACTATAAAGGTAAAGTTCAATCCCGAGGCACAAAAAAGTAAAAGAAAACGCAAATTTATAACCGCAACAAAGCATTTTTTACAGGAAAAATTTATTCTATGTAGCGTATATTCCCTTTTATTAGTACTATAAGTAAAAATTGGAGTGACAATAATAATTAAACGAATACCCTTTGAACAAAACAATTACTCTTCATAAAGAAACATGCTAAAAAGAGGAATCAAAATAAAGTTAACTACATTGAATCTATAAAGCTCTCAAACCTTAACCGAAATCTTACCTGTAATCCTCTCACATTCACGTTTACCATATCAAGCAACAAGCTAAATGTAGGTGAATTTATGGCTGTCTACCGACAGAACAAGAAAGTGTAAGTAGACAAAAGCTAGAAAATCCACACTTACCCATCTGGGTAAACGTTGCCCCTGACAGGAAAAATGGCGGAGGAATCCCCAGAAGCAGCATTAGCAGAAACCATTTTGTTAATATTATCAGGTTTTACAAACCGATTATCTACTTTAGGCACAAAATCTCCTCTGTCCACGTCTACAAATCTCCCCAACTTGACTTCCAAATCCTCCTCCGACACCTCACGAATCCCCGATTTATGATACAGTGGGAACACGAAGGATTTTGATTTTTCATCTTCATTAGATCTTCTGAACTCCTCAAATGTACCCGAGAAAACGCAGCTGTAAAGAACTAGGGCAAGAAGAGAGATAGCAAGAAACCCCAAGAGCTTCCTCGGAGTACCCTCGAATCCCCTCGAGAACGAGAATTGGCGTCCGGCTACAGGTGGTGTTGGTGATTGAATTGGAACATTGCCTTGATCACGATCATGATCTTGATTATGGTGATAATTCTCATGGCTCTGGCTCGACTGTTGAAAATTCTCATTGGTGAGAGTGAAAGCAGTAATTGTTTTGCCTAATGAAGGATTATCAGGTGGAGGAAGAGTGATTATAACTACACCTTTGAGTTGTTGAGGTACTGAATCCTCAGAATTCATCTTCTTCCTCCAGAGTTGAAGAGCTTTTTCTTCTTGAGCAGATCAAAAGAGAAAGCAAAAGAAGAAGAAGAAGAAGAAGAAGAAGAGGATATGTTGAAAAAGAAGAAAGATTAAGCTACTTATCCATGGAGGTCACTGGTACGTGGTTGGTTGGGTCCAATGGAAGACTTGATCATCACTGAATTCTCATTGTAGCGAGCAAATTCAAAAAGTCAAATGTGAAAATATTACAATAAGTATGAAGGAAGGATCTAGGAACTTGACCAGTAAGAAACCAGAAACGGCCAATAGGCTCGGATGAGAAGATGACTTTCGGGACTTTGCTGTTTGACGAACAGCTACTCGGTTATTTGTTACCAAACAGAATACCATTTTTAACTCGGTCGATCCGAGTGTGAATTCATCTGCTGAGTTGACTCAGCTACAGCTTCTTATTCTATATATTAAAAATTTAGTAATTTACCAGGAAAATAATTGTATAATCAGAATTTTTTTTTTTTTTTTTAAATTGACCATTAATCTCCACTTTGTCTTACAATTATTCATTCAAAACCGTAGACATTATGTATAGACACATGAATAGTCCTCATTACTTATCAATAATATTTTTACAAAGAATTATTCAGAGTTGCAGCACTTATCAATGATATTTTTACAAAGAATTTTTCAGAATTGTAGCTTTACAAAAGAAAATTTAGCAGCATAACTAGCAGGTAGGCAATTCATCTTTTTCCCAGAATTGATGCAGATTAGCTCTGAAATGTAGGTTTTTGACTTGAGCATTTTGTCATCCGGTAACTGTCAGCTTATTAAACTGTATAATCGTAGGTAAGATATGATTAGCTTCGTCATCTGATTCTCGTGTAATTCTCCTCAGGTCGGGGCAGCCTGGGGGTGGATTTACTTTTTTCTTCGGCTCGCAGTACTGCACAGCTTTGTTGATTTTGGAGACGAAGCCTGGTGGCGGGTATAATGAAGCTACTTTCGCAGTCTTGGTAATGAAGCCTGGCGGTGGTTGAATTAAAGCTATCTTCTTCACTCGTTCCTTCGGCTTAACACGCAAGTGGTTATGAAAGAACGGATGTTGCAGAGCTTCAGCAGCAGATGGTCTCTTGAGAGGATCCCAAGAACAAAGTTTCGAAATCAAATCAATCGCAGCTTCACTTGCAGATGGAATTAAGCTTGAGAAATTCACAGCAGGAATCTCTGGAAACTCATAGTTCGCCAGGGCCTTTGCGAGATATATTCCAGTAGGCCAAGTCTCCATTGTTGGACTGCCTATGACGCTGCAAATTTTGTGAAGTTGATTATTCATGCCAGGAAACAGAGGACGCAAGATGAACATTTCTGCCATGATAACTCCCATCGCCCACATGTCAACTTCAGACCCGTACATGTATGATCCCATCAAGACCTCAGGCGCGCGATACCAACGAGTACCAACATAATCCGTGAAAGGTATATCTGAATTTCCTATTTCCTTGGAAAGACCAAAATCAGCAATCTTCATGACATTGTGATTACTAACCAACAAATTTTCAGGCTTCAGATCACGGTGAAAATATCCTTGACCGTGAACATGAGCCAATCCTTGAAACACCTGGAGACACCATGTACGAATTTCTGCCTCTGATAATCTATCTTTGCTGCGTTGTCTTCCTCGCAAAAGTTCGTAGAAGTCCCAGGGCATGTATTCAAATACCATAAAAACGACATTGTTTTCCATGATCACTTCTTTCAGATTCACCACATTGGGATGTTTGATTCGTCGAAGCGATTTCACTTCCGTGAGATTCAAGCAATCCTCCCAACTACTTAAACGGTTTCTCAGTTTCTTGATCGCAACAATTTCACCGCTCCTTCTGTCGATCGCTCGATACACGCATCCAAATCCTCCCTTCCCAACTTCGTTCATGAATAGAAAGTTTTCCATCTCTACAACAATATTATATATATATGTGCGTATATACTTGGGCAATGCAGTGAGTGAACCAGAAAAAGCTTCGGGTACTTTCGTCTGAACAATCGATAACAAGAAGAATGAATGTATCTAAAAATAAGGCTAGCTGAAGAGACCGAGACCTTAACGGATATGATCAGAAACCAAATCGGTGATCGATCGGCAACGCAAAACGACACAAATCTTGTCCTTCTGGCGCAGTCAATTAATGCTGCAAGAAGAAAATAGCAAGAAGGCTGAAGAAAACGACGCCATTAGCAGCCAAGAAAGCAGGTGATCGCAAGAAATTTTATCGAGAACTTCTTTCCGCTAAAACAAGAAGGCTGAAGAGAAGGACATCACTAACGGTCAAGAAAGCTGATGATGGCAAGAAATTATACTGAGAACTTCTTTCTGCTATGGAGAAAACAAGTAGGACTGTTTAGGAAAACTGAGGCTTTTATAAAGAGATGGAGCCTGGAAATCCTAGTCGGAAGAGGAAGACGAGACGGAGTCAATCCGGATTTGACTGGTTTTGAAATTACGTTTTTCCCTCCAAATACTAAATTAACTAAATTTAATGAAGTTCATAGTTCCCGACTCCCGGACTAATTAGAAGATATAGAAACTTTATTTAGCTAAAAAATCAATAATCGTGCTTAATTTTATTAATTAATTTAATAAGTTGTCATGCAAGTTAATTAATAAAATCCACCAAATTTTACTTTGATTACATAATTAATTCCTTTCAAATTTTTGAAAAATTAAGCATAAATATTTTATATTTTTATAAAAAATACAAAATTCATCACTGTTCAGTTTCGTCAGTGTTTATATTACTTTCACCTTGTTACATCTATCATTTTCTTAAAAAAGTAAACAATATTCTAATTTATCATAAATAATATATATTCAAATGTTAAACTAATTATAGTTGAAAAATATACTATACATAAACATACAATTGCTATTTACAGAGTAAAAAATTAAAAAAAATCATAATAAAATTTTATACCAGACAAAATATGTATTTTTCATAATAAATATGAAATAGAACAATTTATAAATAATTTTAATACATATATATATATATTGTAACACTCCAAGTTCGGGATTTAGGTTCAGGATGATTAAATTTATATTATTAATAATTTTAAAATTTTTTAATTTTAAGTTTTTAAAAATTTGAAAAAATATATATTTTGGATGTATTTGAAAATAATTTTTAAAAATTAGAGCTAAACTGAAAATAAAGAAAGACCAATTTGATATGAAAATTTAAAAATTGAGATAAAAGTGCAAAAATAGAAAAAGTGATTATGTAGGACGGCCACATCAGCAGCACGACCAGTCGTCGTGCGTCGCGTGGCTGACACGCGAATATGCGTTCCACGCAGGAGGCCACTCAGGCAATCCACGTGTCAACCGATCCAATGGTCCCGGATTCACTCCTACACACACGAACGACCCAGATCTATTTCTCCCTTCAGGTACGATCAAACAATCCAAGTGCCTTCAATCAGACGACTCTGATTCGCTTCCCAAATTAGCTAGATCTGATGGTGGAGATTGGGCCACGCAGGCCCAAACAAACGGCCTAAATTGAGGGAAGATGAGTATTTAAACTCCTTTTCTACTAAAACCCTAACACTAACCGTAACCAGTTCGTTGGAGAAGAAGAAGAAGGGCGACCGAAAGAGAAGTCGGCCACCGTCACTACTGCATTAGAGACCAAATCAACTCTGAAATGTGAGTTTTTTTCTTCTCGTTCGCTCTATTTTTTTATTTTAAATCACCCCAAACCCTTATTGACGCCAAAAAAGCAAATGAGAAGCCATAAACGGAGGGCAGAGCTTGATTGAGCCGTTGCACCCGAAATCAAAAAACCCTTCCGGTGAGCCCAAATCCTCTTTCCGTTCTCTTCCATTTTTCAACTATGGGTTATCTAACACATTTTCGATGCAGGGCGACCGAAGGAAGGATGCGATAGCAAGGAAGAAGTGGCAGAGCGTCCGCACCGGAAAACCAAAATCGTCATTAAGTTTCGGTTCTCCTCCTTTTTCACCAACAGAGGTCACCTAACCTCGAATTTCGTAGAGTTTCGTCCAGAACCAGCTGAAAGCTGCCTGACTGAGAGGAGGAACCACCATAGGCAGTGGGGCAAGTGCCGAAGTACGGCGCCGCCACCGTACCGGAATCCTAAATCGGCCCCTGAGAGAATTTTGACCCTTTTTGGCTGTTTTTTGCATATTTCTATGATATTTGACGTATATTTTACTTTTCACAGAAAAATTCAAGAAATCCGAGAACCAAGAACCGTCGAAAAATGTAGTAGAAAATGTGTTCCAGACACTGACCCGAAGTAAGAATTCCTCACCATTTCTCCCGTTATGGTTAAATGAAAGTTTAATAAATAATAAATAAAAAATTATAAATGTTAGTAACCCCTTTATTAATTAAATATAGGTCACCGATGAATCTAGTAACCAGTCAGTGTATAATTATCCCTACCTTATTTGTGTTGTCTATTTATTGTTATATAGCTTTACTTACCTACTGTTACTTCGTATCATTTAATTTATTGATTTTGATTGTTTTCTTATTTATTTAATTTATTCAACTGTTTTTATATTTATCCATTAATCTAATTTGAAACGAATATCTTAATTACGTGCCCTTGAATTACTGAATATTAATTTACATTTCCTATTAAAGGATCGTCCTAGTGTCCTGTAACTTTTTAATATGAGTGTTGTATGTATTTGGTGGCTAAATGGTGATACAGTATGTATATGCAATGTACCAAAAATGAAAGGGGCTTTCCAAGTGTCATGAGAAATGGTGTTCGAATATGGTACATAGGGTAAATTCTGTCGTAGATATTACCCTCAGTCGAACGGGGCTGAGGAATCTCATACCAGAAGGGGTTGGGAATTGTTTGATTACGCTCATTACTGGATAGAATATTGAAGCATTGGTATATTTGACGCTTATTACCGGACAGAATTTGGGGACGACCGATTAATTTATAGAATGGATACTTGGTCCACATGTAATTGGAACCTCTATGGATCCCTAACGACACCAGTAAGTAAGTAAAAAAGTAAGGATTGAGTACTGTTGGTCTTTTAAAATGTATGATGTGTATTACTATTCTGGTTCTTTCATTCATAAATGGTATATGAGAACTTAAAAGCGAGTAAGAAATAAATATTTTTAAATTAAATGAACTTATTTAAAAAATAAATAAGATACATTGGTTGTTTTACGATTTCTACAAATCTTTGATTTTTTCATATTTGTAGTAAAGTATTGATATTTTTACTGAGTTAGTGTAACTCATCGCCTTATTATTAACCATTTCATATCAAAACGACTAAGATTTGGATCCTAAACAGTAAGAA